CATTGTTTACATTATTTATATCTATGTAAATCACATGAAAAGATTTTGCTAATTTATAAATTAGACATTTTCACTATTCTGTAAAAGTATTTGTGTTAAATATAATTATCGTTAGATGGCGCGATATTGTGATAATTGCATACGCCCCTATGGGAATCGGCTCTTACATGGTCGTGAAGCTTTCATATTGATCCTAATATACATAAATCTTCAGCGTAGAATTTTAATATAATGGAAGTTATTTAAGGTCCTTTCAGTTGATTGATTTGTTACTGTTCGCACGTATACTCTATACACAGCTATGGCATTCAGGCTTAAAATATATGACTAACAAAAATCAGCGACTTGAGTCGTGAAAAACAAAAACATCTTCGTGTACGACTTTAAGTGTTACTATTTCATTCCGTGACTGTGTCAACAATAGTGGACTTTATCCTATAATCTTAGCATTAACAGAAACATTCGTGACTGAAAGGATTAAACTATCTCGCTGACAATGTTTAGAGATTGTTTGTTTGTTTGTAATTAAGCACAAAGCTACACAATGGGCTATCTGTGCTCTGCCCACCACGGGTATCGAGACCTGGATTCTAGTGTTGTAAGTCCACAGACATACCGCTGTGCCACTGGGGGGCGTGTTTATAGAAAATTCGAGTCCAAATATAACAACTATAATCTTACTCATCAGCGCATATATATATATATGTATGTATGTATTCATAAAACTACTAAACTCTCCCTGCGACTTCACCCCGGGGGACATTATGTACTTGCCAAGTGTTGAATGGATGCGCCACCTATGCGTACATATATATATGTATATATACTAAAATTACATAATTTAATTGGACTCACTTCAAAACAATTTTACACACGGTGCACATATGTAATAATGGTGTATTTAATTCCACAAGTATCATTAGTAACATTTATAACAAATTCAAGCTATAGCACATTCAGAAATCACAAAGCAGGGTACCCATGATAACAACGGCATTTCACAGGGAAGAGATAAAAGTATCATATTCGGCGTTCTGTAACATTTAGCACATGTTTACCATACAGAACAGTATCCCAACAGAGAACCTGAGATACTTGTCGGAGAAAAGCTAAGGTAATTACATCCGGCGTTCTGTAACATTTAGCACATGTTTACCATACAGAACAGTATCCCAACAGAGAACCTGAGATACTTGTCGGAGAAAAGCTAAGGTAATTACATCCGGCGTTCTGTAACATTTAGTGCATATATATATTACAAAAAAAAAGAATAGTTATACTATCTCTACAACCTATTCAAATCTAATGTTAGTATATCTTTTGAATTAAGAAACACATGGCACTAAAAACAAATCTAATGTTAGTATATCTTATGAATTATGAAACACATGGCGCTAAAAACAAATCTAATGTTAGTATATCTTATGAATTATGAAACACATGGCGCTAAAAACATCTAACGTTAGTACATCTTATGAAATATGAAAC